CAGGCATCTCCCTCCCTGGGCCCTCAGGGCTGTGACACTCCCTTTGCACCTGTCAGTATTGTTGTCATCATGATCCTTCCTTCCTTCCTTCCTTCCTTCCTTCCTTCCTTCCTTCCTTCCTTCCTTCTTCTCCTCCTTCTTGCCTTCTTCCTTCGTTCCTCCTTCCTCCTTCCTCTCTTCCACTCCCTTCCCTCGCCTACCCTTCCCTCCCCTTCCCCTTCCCTTCCTCCCTTCCTCTCTTTCTCTCTTCCTTCCTTCCTCCCTTCCTCCCTCCCATATGGATTGAGCATTTGTTATGTGCCAAGCAGGGTCCTAAGCCCTTTGATGAACATTCTGCCCTCATGGAGCTGTATTCTGGTGGGAAGAGACAAAGAGTAAACTGAGTAAGTTTGATAAGAGTCAAGGTGGTAAGTGCTATAGAAAACCCCCTGAGCTAGGTTGGAGGGGTTGTGAGGGCCCAGGCAGGTGAAGGTGTTGCTGGAGGTGGCCAGGGCGGGCCTCATGGAGAAGGTGACTTTGAGAAAGGCCTGTAGGGCAAGCGGGAGGTGGCCACACAGGTGCCTGGGGGTGCCTTCTAGTCTCATCTGTTCTTTGAAGAGATCTCACCTGTCCCAGCACTGTGTGTGCCGTCGGGGAGCAGCACACACCAGGCAGAGTGGATGCCCGCATGGACCTTTGTGGATGATGGAGAGGGAGAGCCACTAAGTAACCAGAGAAGCAGTGCCGCTGGGATCCTGGCAGGGCTGAGGGAGGCAGAGACCACACAGGGTCCCGTGGGGAAAGGCTGCTGCCAGCCCAGCACAGACCGTAGGCAGCGGCCACAAGCTAGTACTGGGAAGGGCAGCCCGTGAGCATTTTTGGCTTTGTGGGCCTGTGCGGTTGGTAGCAGCTGCTCAGCGCTGCCATTGTAGCGCTAAAGCAGCCACAGAGAGTCCATGCGAGTGAAAGCACACAGCTGTGCTCCCGTAAAGCTGTATTTACAGAAACAAGGCTGGGCTGGATTCAGCTGGCGGTAGGTAGTTTGCTGAGCCCTAATCCAGGTGGAGGATCCCAGCAGAGGAAACAGGAAGTTCAGAGGGAGGCACCCAGACAGGACAAGGTGTGGTATTTAAGGAACATTTAAGAGGGGCCTTGTGAGTGATGAGGGTTTCCATCTGGAAGGGCCAGGCCAGCAGGGCCCAGGAGGCCTGGGCAGGGCCTGGGCTTTTATTCTGAGCCTGATTATTAGAGGCCATTGGAAATTTTTGGAAGCGGTGGTAGTGGTAAAAGCGATCTGATTTTCACCGGGTCTTTGTGACTGCAGTGTGGAGAAAGGACTGTCGGGGGCAGGGAACCAGTGGAGGTGGGGTCCGTGTCCCCTCATGGGCAAGCGGCCCCCTGCGATCCTGGCCACTCTCCAGCGTTTCTGTGTTCCCAGCGCAGAGCGGGAGGTCAGAGATATGGTCGGCCTGGGTGAATGCACGTTGTGCGTGTATATGTGTGTGACTCCTCAGGGTGTGGATTTGTTCCCCAAGTTTTCAGTGAGTTGGAGTCAGATGGCTCTCCTGAGAAGTGTGGGGTCTCAGGTCAGGAGTGGGGCTTTGGGTTCATGCACGCTGAGGTGTGGCTCTACTTTGCCATCACGTCCACGTGGCTGTGGGCACGTTAAATCCTGAGCCTGTTTCCTAGTCCGTAAATAGGAATGAGGGCCGCTGTTTGTGGTTGCTGGGATTAAAGGCAGCACTGTGTGTAGCACAGGGCCTGGTGAGGAGCTGTCCCTTCCTTTAGTTAACCTGGGGGTATGGCGACTTCTAGACAAAGAAAAAGAAGTGATCTCATGTAATTGTTATTCCCCGAGAGACGTGGTAGACTTGAAATGACAGCGAGGGGAAAGCAGGTCGGGATGGAGCCGGCACTTCCGAGGTGGGTTGTCTCTGAAGCCGTCTGACCTGGTGAAGAAGCCACTTTCACTTGGGTCTGCGCAGTACCCCCCACCCCCATTCTGTCTTCCCACACTGAGGGGCAGGGCTGGGTACCGGGACAGAAAGCGATGTGTTGGGTGACCCACTGGCATAATCTACGTGGTTCTAGTTAAAGAGCGCTAGTCATAGAGGATTTATTAGATAACACATGGAAGGCACCTAGAACCATGGCTAGTGCTTCAGTGTACACTTGGGGGCTGGCTATTTGGTTGCCGTTCTCATTATTTTGTGAAGCGATATTATATTAATATTCTCTCATTATATCAGAAAAGAGAGGCTGGGTGGGAACAATAGCCACACCTTTCCACAGTAATGAGGAATTCAAAAATGTAGCTGTGATGTTTACTTTGTCGGCCACGTGGTTCTGTTCCTCTCTCCAACACGGTGCTCTCACTGGGCGCTCCCGGTGAGGGTGTTCTTCCCGCGCCTGCTCGCTGCTGGGGACGGTGGGCAGCCTGCCGGGGATGTGACTTGTGGCTGCTCTTGGCAGAGCTACTTGGGAATAATGCATCAGAAACCTGGAAAATGTCCGGTACCCTGTGAGCTAACGGTTCACGATAGGGGTTTTACTTCAGGGAATAGTCAGACATTGTTAGCTGAACCACACTTTAGAATACTGGACAATTAGAGATAGTCACAATGTTCAGAAATAGGGGAGAGGTTAAATATAAATACATATGACAGAAGCATACTTAGCTTTCAAGATGAATGTGTTAGAGCAGGGGTTGGCATACTTTTTCTGTAAAGGTCTAGAAAGATAATAAATATTTTAGCCGGTGGGTCAGATGGTCTCTTTTGTAACCATTCAACTGCTACTGTAGCACAAAAGCAGCCGTACACGGCACATAAACAAACAGGCTTCTCTGTGTTCCAGCTAAATTTTATTATCAGAAATAGATGGTGCGCTGCAGTTTGCTGACCCGTGTTGGAGAATAATACTTGATGAGAATACGGTCATGATTTTAATGTGAAATATGTAGGCATGGACTGTTGGCTAAAGGGAATTTTCCTGAAAAGGACTAATCAAAAGATTAATACATTGGGCTGCATTAAAGTTAGGGACTCCTCTTCATCACAAGACATCCTTGGGAGGACGGAGGGCACAGGTCACAGGGAGGAGGCTGTTTACCTGGGGCTCACACACAGACTGTAAGGAATGCCTGTGAATCGGTAAGACGGAGGCAGGGGACTAAACACACACTTCACAGATGCAGACACCCAACTTCTTCATTGAAAATATGTTCAAATGGTGTGATCCAATGTGTTAAAACAAATGTGCGTGAGTGTAATTTATAATGCAGAGTAGATGCCAATGGACACACCTTATGGACACTAAGAGGAATGTGTGTGCTCACACCACTGAGATGACAAATGTTTAAAAGATTCACAATACTAAGTGTTGAAGAGGGTGTGGAATGCCTGGAAAGCTCATGCACTGTTGGCTGGAATGTAAAATGGTGTAATCTCTCTTTGGGAAAAGATCTGGCAGTTTCTTAGAAAACTAAACATACACTTACATTATGACCCAGTAACTCTACTCCGAGGTATTTAACTGTGAGAAATCAAAGCATGTGTCCACAAAAATCTTGTGCATGAACATCTATAATAAGCTTTATTCATAGTATCCCCAGACTAGAAATAACCCAAATGTTCATCAGCAAGTGGACGGCTTATCAAACTGGTATGTCCATACAATAGACTACTACTGGGCAAGAGAAGGAAATAACTGCTGATTCTCACAGCCACCTGGATGAATCTCAGAAGATGCTATGCTGAGAGACAGAAAAGCTTGCACAGAAGTGCAGGTCCCAACTGAGTCTCTTTCTAGGGAGTTCTAAGGCAGGTCCAGCCATCCATAGTGAGGAGGTGAGCGTCTCCCAAGCCCAGGGCGGGATGGACGCAGGGGTACCAGGAAGTCTGTGGGGGTGGCAGTGTTCTGTGTCTTCCCTGGAGTAGTAGTTACACAGCTGGGTAGCCTGTCAAAGTCATGGGCCTGTTTACTTAAAATGAGCACATTTTATTTTATAAACCATAGTTGGCCCTTCATGGCCACCGGTTCCACATCCTTGGATTTAACTGTGGATCGAAGATATTTGGGGGGAAAAACAATAAACAACAATGCAACAGCTAAGAACCATGGAAATAAAAAATGATACAGTATAACCCTTTTTTACACAGCATTTGCATTGTATCAGATATCATAAGTAATCTAGAGATGATTTAGAGTATTTGGGAGGATGTGGGCAGAATCTATACAACTGCTGTGGTATTTTGTATAAGAGACTCGAGCATCTGCAGGATTTTGGCATCCCCTCCTCTGATACTGAGGGACGACTATGTAACGTCAATAATGTTAATTTAAAAAGTAGAAACAAGGCAACAGAAGACGTGAAACACAGGGTGGTCTGGCCCTGTTCTGGGCTCTTCTTGGCCTCCTTGTGCTGCCCTGTCTGGATTTGCGTCTCCTTCACCTCTTGAGTCTGTAGCTGCCACAAGTCTGTGGAGACAGGAGCATGCTTGCATAGGTAACAGTTTTGTACACACACTTACATATGTGCATGTATGTGTCCATATACATGTATATGTGTGTGTGTGCATGTGTGCATGCACACATGTGTTTGTGACGTGTGGCTGTTGCCGGAAGATCTTGCAGACTCCTAAACCCTTTGTGGTATACGAGGCCTTTAGAGAATGGCTTGTTTCATCTCTCAAGATCCCCGCCCCCTGCTGTGGAAGAGCCTGGAACTTGCCTGCTGCAGCGAATCCCTCTGGCTCTTGTCTGGCTGTGAGTGAGGAAGACCGCTGGGGACACTGCAGAGGCTAGACCTGGACCCTCCGCGAGAGCTGTCAGGGGGAACTTGCACAGTAGCTGGTTTCCTATGTGCCTGTTTCCTTTTTCTCATGGCTCTTGCCCCGCTCTGCATCAGATTACAGAACACCAAGCTCATGTCCGGCGTGAGGCTTTTCATTCCAGACTTCTCGTAGAGACTCCGTGAGTTAGCAGTAACCAAGTGTATTTTTTGTTTTCTTCTCGCCCAGGGTTACCTTCCTGCCAATGTAGACCGAAGACCATCCACTCTCCAGAGAAAACAAAAAGAATATTTTGCTTTTATTGAGCACTATTATGATTCTAGGAACGATGAAGTGCACCAAGATACATATAGACAGGTGGGAGAGCTTTCTCTTTTTCATGCATTACTTGACATACTTTGATTTGGTGATGATTTGTAGGAGGGAATGTTTTGTCCAGCATATCCCTGATTGAGTCACAGATTTTTATTTTCTAATAAATTAATTTGAAAACAAATAATGGCAAATTTCCTCTAATCGTGATACCTGCTTGCTTCCAGTTCCTTCTACAAAAGTAACAAGGTTTTTGGTTGAAGTTACACAGTATTAAGTAAACACCAGAGAGGGTGTGGGACCTGCCTCAGGTGATGATGGGCTTTCTGTATCTCAGTGAGCTGCTGTCTGGGAACCAGAAGGCTCTTCCTGAGGGTCTGGGATGAGGCATTTAACTAGATCACATCACAATGGAGAGATCCCACAGGGCTCCATGGTGCTATGCTCTTTGGTACAGTTAGGATGTGTAGACAGGCGAAAGGTGTAGTAATCAGCTTGATTTGTGGGGGGACACACTTTATGCCAGAGCAAGAGGTGTAGCCAGTTTGTTATTTTGCTATTTAGTTTAATACAAAGTGGGTATAATTATGGTTTCTTAAATAGTCAATTGACAGATGATGTGCATAATGGGAAAAATACTTAAAATTGATTTATGCTTCACAGTGCATCCAGAATTCGCTGTTAGAGCCTTAACAGCTCTTCGAGGACTTTATAATTCTCATTCTTTCTATAATATGTGAAAGGTCAAACTGGCAGTTCTTAATTGGCATCATTGTCTTATAGATCTGAAATCAAGTTCTAGTTTCTCTGAGGCGTATCACTATTGACTATTCCCTTTGTAAATCCTACTTCTAGGTGAAGGAGTTTTGCTAAATTTTTCTACCTCAGTTATGGGATATTCACATCTCCTTGTCAGTTTGGTGTAAATCTGTTAAAAAGGCCCGAAGAAAGGGCTTACCTCTGATACGTAAGCAGAGTGTAAGAACAGTGGATTCTTGGGAAGCGTGTTCCTTATGGGTGGGGTACAGCTGAGGTTCGGGCAGGAAAAGTGACTTTTTTCAGAGTGAGGCAGTAAGAAGGGCACGAACCCACCTCCTTCTGCTTGTGGGACAGAGCTCCCTCGCCTCTGGACTGCACCGCCTGTGCCGGAGTTGGTCCTTCTGTCTCATACCTGGGGGGCTCCTGCCACTCTGGGCTGCACCCAGTTACTCTGGGAGCCTGATCTGAGATACAGGGTGCCTTTGGATTTGGTTAGGGAAATATTGGCTTACCTGTTTTCTCTTTCCATTTCACTGGTTTTAGGAAATTGATAAATTTGCTATTGTTTTAAACCTGTTTTCGATGTATTCTTATTCAAGAAAAGACTTCCCAAAGGATGACACTAGCATCTTTCTGTAAGATTTATCAAGCTGTATTCTATTTTAAATTTCTTAAGGGGCAGTTAATTACAAACAGCTTGCATACATCTTTCTTTAGTTACTGTGATAGGTAATAAAAAGATTCCATATCACTGTGAATTCCCAAAAGATGGGAGATATGTACTGTAACGTGTGGTGGTTTTTCTTGTCTGCCTGACGCCAGTAAATGTGCCTTTTGGGATGTACTGTGTGTTTTCCCACCATTGTCACTTCCGGCAGAGCCGAACTCGATTTGGGTTTGGGGGCCCCGGCATGTAGCACCCACCTTCCCACACTGATGGGGGCAGCAGGAGGGTGGTGGCCTTGGCATGTCCCCTCATTCCTCTGTTGTCCTTTCTTCATTTGATTTTTAAGTGGCTACTCTTTTGCTGAAGATGTTATGTGACAGCCACAGGGAATTGGTCAGAGTTAGCACACCAACTACCATGCGAGCTGTATTTAACTCAGGCCAGTTTGAGCCCAGGGCCTCGTGAGCAAAACCCTGCAGTTGGTTCATGAAAACCTTACTTGTTGATGTTCATATTGTTATGATTCACATTGACAATTTAATTCTAAAAACGTGGATTATGTTGCATGTAACTCACATACAACAAACAATAAAAAAACAACAAATTAGAAAGGATTGTTTCAATAAAACACCGTGGCCCCAAGGAAAAAATTTTTTTTCTGGTGTGGCAGTCAGTATGTTGAAAGATTCATCTGCTGTGCCTTTCCCTCTCTAGGTAAGTTCTGTAGTCCTTTTTCCTCTTGCTCATCCTGTGCATGATGGGGGGCAGGTGGGAGGCATGGAGGGGCACACAGAGCCCCATCTGCCCAGCCTTGCAGAGGACCCTCCTTTCTATGTTGGATCCCCTCCTCCTGACCCAAGTGACAGCAGGGGGCGGGGCTGATGTGTGCGCTGTCCTGTCTGCTTAACAAACGCATGACAGGCAGCTCCTGTGTGAGGCGGGCGGTGCTGATCCTGGGCATGCAGAGGTGGATCAGACCCCCGTTCCTGTCCTGCAGGAGCTTATGGTGCTCATGCTGGGGACACGTGTGCCCACATGAGTGTAACTGTACAGGAGCAGTGCTCAGAGGATGGCCTTCCCGGACGCCCGGGTGACAGGCCTGAAGACTCTTGTCCCTGCCTGTGCCTGGGCTCCTGCGCGTGCTGCTCTGGATAGAGCATCGTTGGTCCTCCTCCCCATCTGTCCCCGCCCTCCCCAGCAGCACTGCTGCCCGCAGGCCCCTCTAGCAGAGAAGCGCGAGCACTTCAGCTTAGGCTGCTGACCCGCAGTCTTACTGGAGCTTCGCCAGTAGCCTTCCAGGGGTTCTGAGCAGGCATTTTGTAGACAAGGAAGCTGGGCCCCGGCGCCCAAGTGCTTTCCATAAGGCCACAGTGCTAATAAGCAACAGAGTAAGATTGTCCCCGTCTTCTGGGTGTTAGAATCCTCTGTGGGCATGTGCAAAGATGGGGTGACAAAATCGTAGAATACCTCTTGCCGTTAAAATGTGCACGTCTTTCCTCAGTCTGTTGGGCCATTGTCCTGGATACATGGGAGTGAGTTGTGTGGCCTGTGTGGGATGTTCGCGCGGGCTGTTGGGAGCCAGCCTGTGATGCCAGCTCAAGCTCTGACTGCTCTTGTTTGGTTGCTTCTTGAACCCACAAGTGTCCTCCTCAGGAGTGCCAGGGACTTCACTGTCACTCTCACGTCAGACCGTGGCCAGGCAAGAATCAGCTGACACTGGCAGAGACCTTCAAATGCTTCCTTTGAAAAGTGTTCTAGATTCCCCAGGGACTTTGTGAAGTGGAGAGAAATGTGGCCTGTGTCCAAAAAGAAGCTGTCACAGCTGAAAACTTGTACACTGTCGATGCACTTGAATTGTTCTCTGTGTCAGAGGCTGAAAATCAATGTTTACTAATTGCTATGGATTATGTTACTAAATAGCTGAGGGCCTGCTCTGTTCCTAATCATACAGCAACCACTGCTTGGTGGGAAGCGTCGAGCAAGCCCGTCACCCTGGGACTGGGTGAGCCTGGTCCCGGGGACATGTGTGTGCATGCCTCCCTCAGAGGAGAGCTTGGGAACATGGGGAATCAGTATCCTGAGAGAGAGCAGGTTGCCAGGCAAATTACATTCATCGTTAAGTATTGCTGTTCTAATCATAATCCTCGTAATGATGTTTGTCATCATGTAAAATAAATGTCTTTCTCCTGCATCTCCAGATCCACATAGACATCCCTCGGATGAGCCCTGAAGCATTAATACTTCAGCCCAAGGTGATGGAGGTAAGAGCCATGACCTGACATTCCTGCAGACTCGTTCCCCTTTGCTGGGAGAGACTGACGATGCCACTGTGCCAACCGGACGGTGGATGCAGTTGGCGTGCTTCGCCCACAAGCAAGTGTGGGGTGGCCAGTTTCTGGTGCCTTTGGCCCTTGTGGATGTAATTGCTGACAGGAATCTCTATTGTTTAAATATTTTTATTGTGCAATACTGATACATACAAAAGAATACATGTAATACACCTGAATATACTCTGTGTCTGTGAGATTTAGGAACCAGCGCCCACTAGTCTGAGCACCTGCACGCGTGAACCTGGCTCGAACCCGACCCATGGCTGAAGCTGCTTCCGTGTTCTCCCCTTGTAACCTGTCCCCAGGGGATGGAGGACCCCTCTCACGACTGTCATGTATATGATTCTCCCTAACTTTCACACGGGTCAGGTGGTACCAAGAACGTGCCGTGGTACTTAATTTTGCATCTCGAGCCGTATCACTCTCTGTGTAGTGTAGTCCCTGCAGCTTGTGTTTCCTCTCCACATTGTTTTCTAAGATTCAGCCAATCTGTTGTATTTATTTAAATATTTCACACTGTCTTTAGCCTGTTTCTTGCTGATGGGCATTTGCGTTGTTTCTAATGTTCTGCTACTAGGAACAGTGTTGCCTGGGACCTTCCTGCACATTTATGCAGGCGCCAATGGGCAAGAGCTTCTCCAGGGCGTTTATGAAAGAGAACAGCTGCTGCATGGCTGGGCGTGGGCCTGCTACACTTTCAAGACAACACCAGCATGTTTTCCAAAGGGTTCTACTAAGGAAACTTTGAACCCGCAGAGTATTAAGAATTCCTGGACTCCACATCCTTGGCACTTCGTGATATTGTCAGATTTTTTAGCTTTTGTTTCTCTTGAGGGCATTCTTTTTTTTTTTTTTTTTATTAGAACATGTTTTTTATTTCATCGTATTATGGAGGTACAGATATTGTTAGGGTTACAAATATTGCTCTTGCCCCCTCCCTCCCCCCGAAATTGAGGGCATTCCTATTGTGCTTCTAATTTTCATTTTTTGGTTAACTAATGGAGTTAAGCATCTCTTCTTATAGGTGTCTTCTGTTTTCCCCCTTCAGGAAAGTGCTTGTTTCTGCCTTTTGCCCATGTTTCTTTTGGGTTGTTGATCTTTACATGATAGGGATTCTAATTCTTTGTCAGTTGGTATGTGGCGAATATCTTCTCCCCCTCTGTAGCTTTTTTCTTCCTGTCTTCTTGGGAGAAACTTGGATGATCAGAGTTTCTTAGTTTTAGTGTACTTGAACTTGTCAGCCTGTTTTGGTTAGTGCTGGTATGGCTTACTTAAGGAATCCTTTCCTACATATACGTTCTCAAAGTGCTCTCCCATACATTCACCAAAAGTTTTGTCGACTTAGGAGTCAACTTAATTTTCTCCTGCGATGACCAGTGAGCCCCACACTGCCTATGGGTTCCAGCTTGTCTCTCCACATTGCCGTGAATCACGTCTGCCTTATGCCGTTGCCACACTGACATGGATCTGTATGGTGTCCTGTGCTTTGTTCTCGGCATTCAGATTGTCTTCCCTTCAACTCACACCCTGCTAAGTATGATAATTTAGCTGTTTAATGCCTTAATATTTGGTAGGGGGAGCTCACACCCTGCTGCTTCTTCCTTTTCAGGGTTGAATGGGCAGTCTTACTCTTTGCTTTTCTTCATGATTATCAGAATCACATCTCCCAGGTCTTGTCATTTGTTTTTTTGCTTGTAAGGTCTGTTTGATTTGTGGTTGGAATTGCATGGAATCTATGGATCAGTTTGAGAGAATTGATATCTTTGTGAAATTTAATATTCATATTCTTGAACATGCTTGTTCCCCATTTTTATGCTTTTCAATTAAGTTTTTTTTTTTTTTTTTTTTTTTTGAGACAAAATCTCATTCTGTTGCCTGGGGTAGAGTGCCGTGGTGTCAGCCTAGCTCACAGCAACCTCAAACTCCTGGGCTCAAGTGATCCTCCTGCCTCAGCCTCCCAAGTACCTGGGACTACAGGCAGGCGCCACCATGCCTGGCTAATTTTTTCTATATATTTTTAGTTGGCCAGTTAATTTTCTTTCTATTTTTAGTAGAGACAGGGTCTTGCTCTTACTTAGGCTGGTTTCAAACTCTTCACCTTGAGCGATCTTCCTGCCTTGGCATCCCAGAGTGCTAGGATTACAGACGTCAGCCACTGCGCCTGGCCTCAATTAAGTTTTAAAATTTTTTTCAAAAAAGATCTTGTATATGATTTATTACATTTATTCTTAGTTATTATATTTTTTTGCTATAATAAATGGTATTTCTTATTGTTTGAGACATTTGTTTTTTTGCATATTGTTTGTTCCAGTAAATGTGCTCTTAAACTTTGACATCTCCTGTCTGTGCAGTAAATCCATTAAAAAAAAAAATCTAGGCTTGTTAAAGCAAAACTACAAACACAGAAAAAAAAAATTAGTTTTCATTAGTCATTTTGAGATACTTCTCTTTGATTATTCTTTTCAATAGTTGTCCTTATCATAACTGGAAAACAAGAGATAATAGAACCTCCTTTTTACTTACTATTAATATTTTATTTAATGGAAAATAGAGCCCTCCACAGGACTTTTGGTTTATTCTTAGTTACTTTTTCCCACCACTTACCGCAGTCCTCGTAGAACTGACATCTCAGGCCTTTTGGTCTCAGTGTGGATCCTGAGTCACCACCAGTTGGTGTCAGTGGTCCTCTTGACTGTGACCTCCTTGGACCTTGATCCCACAGGTTTGGAGGGCCTCCCCCAGCAGTGGGGCTCACTCAGCCCCTGCAGGTTCTGGGGATGCTGACACTCAGCAGGGTGGTCACTGTAGGGGCAGACGACTTCTGGGACAGGCTGGTGGGTGTGGTAAGTGGGTAACTTGAGCATATCCCTGAGTGAGTGAGTGAGTGAGTGTGTGTGTGTGTGTGTGTGTTTTCTGGGGGGAGGGGTGTTAAATGATGTGCAGTGGGATTTAGGAAAGCATTAAAATGTTTGTTTTGTGTTGGCCTGTAGGCAAAATTGAGTTATGGTTTCTGGTATTGTAGAGGTTAGATTTAGACATATCTGCAAGTGACAGCAAATCTATAATTGTTGTGGCTTTGTAAGACAGAAGTGCATTACTCTGTCCAGCATCAGTTCCTTGTCAGCGAATTGGGTGCCTCTCTGTGCTTGGCCTTAACCTCATGGTCCACAGGGGATCCCTGTCACGTTTGCATTCCACGAGCTCTCGCAGGGCAGGAGGATGTGGTAAAGATCTGTCACAGAAGTTGCTCATAGTGCTTTCTTTCTGCTTCTGTCCTATGGTTATAACTTGCATCTTCCTGACTTGACTTAGTGACATGGTTGTACTTAGCTGTATGGGAATCAGGAAAACATAACTGTGGTTTTAGTGGCTCATGTGCTCCACTGAAGTCCGGGCTTCTGACAACTCAGGAAGAAGGGGTTCTACTGCAGGCGTTTCCCCATCCATCCATGCATTCATTTATTCATTCCAGAGGTGATGGCCAGGCCTGTTGTGGTCAGTTTCTCCTTTCCCTGTCTCCCTCCCTCTCTTTTCTCCTTCGCGTCAGCTTTATCGAGCTCTAGTTTATGTACAATAAAATTCGCCTACTGTAAGTGTGCAGTTAGTTGTGTTTTGACACCCGTGTATAGGAGTGTGACAGCCACCTGAATCGTGATATGGAACGTTTCCTTCATCTAGAGCTGTTCCCCCATGTCCCTTCGCTGTCAATCTCCTCTCCTCGTGCCCTGCCCCCAGCAACTGCTGATCTGCTTTGTGTCTCTCAAGTTTTACCTTTTTATACAATTTTATATACATGGAATCATGCAAACTGTAGACTTCAGTATGTGGTTTCTCTTACTCAGCGTAATGCCTTTGTGAGTCGCCCATGTTGGTGCATGTGTTAGTAGTTCATTTCTTTTCATTGCTGCCTATTGTTCCAGTATGAGTATGCCACAATGTGTCTATCCATTCACAATCGATGGACACAGGGATTCTTTCCAATTTTTGTCCATTACAAGGTAAATTTGCTATAAACCTTCATGTGCAAAGCTTAATGAGGACATCTTTCCCCCTCCTCCTCTGGTAAGTACTAGGAGTGGAATTGCTGGGTTATATTTAAAGGTATGCTTAGCTTTATAAGAAACTGCCAAACTGTTTTACAATGTGGCTATACCAATTTGCATTCCCGCCAGGAATGTATTAGAGTTCTAGTTGCTCCACATCCATGCCAACACTTGGTATTGTCAGTCTTTTTAATTTTAGTCATTTTTAGTGGGTATATAGTGATATCTTGCAGGGTTATAATTTATATTTCCCAATTGAGTAATGATGATGAACATCTCTCTTTATGCTGACTTGCCATGCGTGTGATCTTCTTTGGTGAAGTGTTTGTTCCATTTTTGTTCATTATTTAATTGCTTTTAAAAACTTTAACTTGCCTGTTCCTAGGCTACTTGTCAGACCTTCTGAATCAGACTCCCAGGGTAGAGCCTGGAAATCCCTTTTTTAAGTCAGCTTAGCCAGACTTAGAGACTGTAGACTCGAATGTTTTTAGCTGCCCATGGGGGGATGTTGCCGTGAGTGAGAAGTGAGGACCGTGGGAAGGCTGCTAGTCTTTGCCCAGCTTCCCTCGGAAGGAGCGAAGGGCCTTTGCCAGAAGGTCCCTGCCCCTTGCTCCTCCCAGGGTGGTCCCAGGAGGGGCTGAGGGAGGGGGAAACACCCTCCACATCCCCCTGAGCCCAGGCTGCGCTCAGGACTGTTGGGTGTGGAGGTAAGGGCCCTCTGGTGCTCTGAGGGAGGCCTGGTGCTTCTTAGTGCTCCCACCTGACCTCCTCAGGGAGGCCGCGCGCTCTTTTCACCCCTCCCCAGTTTAACAAACTCAATCTCTTGCATTAAAAATACCAATCCTGACCTGTGGCCCTTTGCTGCTCTGGTTGGTACAGTGAGTTTAT